GACAAGAAGCTCGAAAAGCCATACCCTGTTCAGCGAATCATCCCCGTATAGTCCATATATGGGAGTACCCCCCCCCCTCCCCGGGGGTAAATGATGATAAGTTTAGCCCTGAGTTACCCAGAGATGACTCTCCATTAAGAAAACTCGAACGATGATCTTTCTCCGTCATCGAGTTTCTTCACATCAATGTTCTTTTTGAACAAGAGACCAGATCCACCACCGCGCCGGTCTTGTCGATTGTGTTGTATAAATTTATGTGTTTCAGATGAACAGAATTCAAGTTTTGCTGCCGTGTCCTTAGCTTGAAGCCATGTTTCAGTTAATGCAAAGATGTCCAAGTCAGTATGGACCTTTATCACACGGCAGCCATGTTTATCCTCATGAGAATAAAAGCCTTTGTTTCACCCGCATAAACTCATTCTCAAACTCTTGTATGCGAGGCTACGCGTGGTAGAATCTATTGTTCCAACCAACATGGCTGCCGCGTGAAAAAGGCCCATTACATACGTATTCACGTAGACTGCAGTTTTGGATTTAACTGACCGAACGTTAGCTACACCAAATGACAGAAGAGATGAAATAGATGGGCAAATACCATTGTTACTTGGTAAGCAATTGATTGTAATGAGATTCAATGTTTTTGTTCTTTTGGTCCCAAGATAACACGGAAGGGATACCAAAATACCATAACGAGCAAAATGGAGGCTTTCTCGATGTGTTATTATAATCGATTTTGAAATATTACGTAAAACCGAGTGTTGCTTTTTTAATTTATAAATTTAATCTAACTTGTTTTCCTTTCTATTCGTATGAAATTTTCATTATGGGTTTAATTAACTATTGTCAATGACTTCTAGGCAATTTGGTTAAGAAGTTACAAATCATTTGTTCTAGTAAATTTTTGGTAGGTTTTCCATTTGTTTCCGTCAATGCTTTTCCGTCCTTCCACATAATTTTGAATTCAAGGATTTACAAACAGTTCCGTTTATTTGTTTCTTTTCACTTCCAAACTCAGTAGCTAATCCCATTCCTGCACGAACTTCACACTTTGATAAGATTTTTCTTTAAAAATCGCCGTTCTTTTGTTCCATATTTAGTAATTCTAATAGAAATAGAACTCCCTGTTTAAATGCTGAAGACAGGCCATAATAACAGCCGAGATAAACTTGCCATTATCGCTATTAGTCTTAAGCAGCAGTACAGCGACAAACGAGCTTCGAAAATGACAGCAAACCTTAATACCAACCTAAATTTTTCACAACAAGAATGTCCAGTTACTTTAGAATTTGATATTTCAAATTCCACGCGTTTTCCAAAGTCGGCCATTCCAACATGGATTGCCGTGAGCGTCATTAGCGGTGTCATGGCCGTACCTACATTTTGGATCAATCTGCTGGTGATTTGGACGATTCTCGAAAATGAAAGCCTTAGATCCCTCAACTACAATCTTATACTTGCCATTCTGGCTCTGACCGATTTACTGGTAGGACTTGTGGTGAACCCTCTTTTCATTGCTTTTAATATCTGTGTTACGCTTGGGTGTGCGTCGGACTGCGATTTAACCACTACTTATTTAGTAGTCGTCGTGCTTTGCACTGGGTGGTCAATTGGTACGTTAATGATCGCCTCAGTCGAAAGATATCTGGCCATAGAGTATCCACTGTATTATAACACTAAAGTCAGCACCAGAAATCTATTGGCCGCAGTTGCGGTAACCTGGCTGTTGGCGGTGATCACCTTGCTTTTCAGATTGATGTTCGATGATTCTTACAAAACGAAACAAATATCACGAGTTCTGTATCTTGGTATCAGTCTGAGTGTGGTCCTCTACTGTACATCAAAAGTAAGCAAGACTGCCCATCGGCAGATGAAATCCATTAACGCTCAGCAAATAGCATTGCAAGGGGCAAGCACCACCGCAGACAGAATCAAGGAATACAAACGAACTTTTGCATTAGCAAGTATAGTATTAATTTCGATTATCTTTTACTGTCCTTTTATCATTATTAAGGTCATCTTGTTAGCAAATGGGAAAGAATGGAACAGCGAGTTGAAATATGTGATGCCATCGATTTCCATGGTTTTCGTTCACTTGCAATCTGTTGTTAATCCTATAGTTTACTCAATTCGCCTGTCATATATTCGAGTAGGTGTGGTGAAAAAACTGTTTTGTCGATCATAAGGCGCGGGAATCCGGATCCCGGTCGTTTAAAGGATCGACCATTAGGAAGTTTACGTTGCAAGTTATTAGGGATGAACCATTAGATAATTGATGAGGGTTGCAGGAATTTTAGTTGCATGATATTTATTTTTTTGGCTCAACCCTTGCACGTTATTTTTTTGCGTACAGTTAGATATTTTTCTTCTAGCAGAAGAAGTTGCTAGATATTTTTTTGGGGATTTGACGCAGCCCCCACATCTATCAACTATCTAATGGTCCGTCCCTTCGGCATTATATGCATGTTGATGCAATAGGCCCTTTGCAGTTAACGGTCACGTGTCTGTACTGGTGAGCAAAATTTATTTATTTTAAATTGGCGATTCTTTTTAGCTACTTGTAAAGAACTGAATGGAACGATGTGTAACCACTGTGTCGCGAAATGCAGTTCTAGAAATTTTGTTTGCTCACCAGTATATTTCACCCATGGGAATCAAGATGTACATTGATTTGTTCTCAGTGAATTAGTCAGCACGTGCATGCACTGCAAAGGGCCTATTATTGTCTAAACGCAATCTCGTACCCATTTGTGATGATTATTCGGAATAATTTACCGGCAAACAAACAGGAACGTGGGCTCTGGGTACGAGATTGGTGTAAACGGCATGCCAAAAAATCCATATAGAGTAACCTTGTTTGGGCTGCCTGTGGAGAAATAATGTAAAATGTTAGATGGGATCCCTGTGTTAACAGGTAGCCCATCTAAACAGTGAGTGTGTGGAGATACATAAATCTGGTAAATCAAATAATTTCTTAAATTGTTAGAATTATTGCTCAATATTATTTATCCTAATATTCATTTATTTGATAATTTACGAAAACTAGATGCTATTTTTTCAATACTATGATTTTTACGGTTCACTTTCGTTTCCGGTAAAATTGTCGCTTTGGTCGTTCCTGATTGGCTAATCCCTAAGATTCAAATAAACAGCGGCGAATCTGATTGGTTAGTAGTTGCTTTTAAAGTCGTTAGTTTAAAAAGAATGGCGTGTTTTGATTGGTTAATTCGTTCGACGCACATTTTGAATGAGTTTCCCCAACTGTCTGCATCAAATAGAATCTTTGATCGGTCGGGAAGTGATAGTCGTTCTTCAAACGCTTAACTAAATCATCCCAATACTAATACCTTTTGCTTGATTAGTTATCAAAAATCATAGCTTTCTTACCGACAACCAAAGACTCAACTGAGTTTATTATTTACGTTTTTCTCGAGCTAAAATTGGTCTAAAATTCATCGAAACCATACAATTGGAACGACATTTGCCTGAAGCATTCCAAGCTAATCTTGTCCAAAATGTCTAAAGCTTTAACTAAAGATCGTTATGTTGGTAGATACAGAACTGATAGACCTATAGAAGTACCTAAAGGACCTAAAGAAATTGGTCAAATCATTGAAGATGTACGAGCAGGAAAGCGTTACCTTCGAGGAAAATTTCTGGGAAAGGTAAGAATGTTGACCGTTTAATATTTAAATGCCTTTATATATGAAAGATGCTTCAAGCAACAGGTTTCGATAGTTTACCATAATCAATCTATAAAATTCTTGTTCTTTTAGGGTGGATTTGCGAAGTGCTACGAACTTAAGGACATGAGCACACAAGAAATTTTCGCTGGGAAGATCGTTGCAAAATCGTTACTAACTAAACCTCATCAGAAAGAAAAGGTAAGAGCTATGCCACGTAAAATTGTTTAAGAATTTAAAAAACTATTTTTTTCGTTTAAATTTGACTAACTTTGGTTTGCTTTTAGATGTGTATGGAGATCGATATTCATAAAAGGATCAGCCATCGTCACATTGTAAAATTCCACCACCATTTCGAAGATAAGGATTACCTCTACATCATTTTAGAGCTTTGCCCTCGAAGGGTAAGTAAAAATTTAATTTTCTTGACTTTTGATCTAGTTTTGAAGCATTAAGATGTAGGTTTTCTTATGAACGATGATGCCTTTCCACGTTGGCTATTTATTGGTTACTAATAAATTCAAAAGCCCGGGAATAATTCGGATTCAAATTTCAACAGTCTCGTTTAATTTTTCGATGGCTTTTCGTTCTAATTCTGAACCACTATGCTATGCTGCGATTCTTTCTTCGTTTTCCTAATGCATGTTAGATAAAGCGTCATTACTGTCCATTAGAATAGAAATTATATTTTCTGATCTGTCTTTCTGTTAAATACAGTTGTATAAACTTCGGAAGTGTGAACTCAAACGAGATAATAAACGCGTGCATAGCGATAACATTTACAAATACTATTAAAGTGTAATGACAAAACCAAATACATATTAAAAAAACCTATCCAATGCCCTCCTAAAATACCTTAAAGCTATAGTAAGTTATATTCTACAAGAATTCATCCCTGGAGGATACTTATGAATTCAAAGTCGTAGAAAAGTTCAAAGCTTTTGATCTATTAACACCTGTTGACATATAAAATGCAAACGAAGATCTCACTTTAGAAAGCGTGTAGCTAGTGTATTGTATACCAAATAAACTACACATTTTGCCAGAAAACATTGTTTCTATATGGGGTTATTTAAAGGTTTTATAGCACACAGCGTTCTAAAGACATTTTTGCGTAATATATAAAACGCAATGTGTGTGGAATTGGAAGAGTAAAATAAAAATAAAATATAAAGCGATCTGTATGTTGCAACAGGTGTAAGTAAGGACAAAACGAGCGTTTTCTAGGAGTGGCAAGACAGTGAAGGAAGTGTCCCAGCGTGTATTCTACACAATTCAAAGTTTATTAAACACGAGCAAAATGACACATCCTTATTTATAAATTGAAGAATTTCGTTATCAAGATGGCTTTACAACATACCTGCACGGATGTAATTTGTTTACACTGTTAAATCCAGAAAAAAATTCAATCAAAATTATGATAGAAGTCAATTAATTATTAATGTTTCTGTTTGTAACAAAGAAAGAATTGGTTATTGTTTACATTTAGATATAATTTGTTTTGAAGCTTGAAATGTTTAAAGTGCTACTCTGACGAAAATCGTTCAAACTTGGATTCAGCTGAAACTTCCAAAGAATACTCTTTAAAGGTCCAATGATCACTGTATGAAGTGTTTTCTCGACATTCATGACGAAACTATGATATTTTTACGATTATTTTTTGGAGTCTGTGACCTCATAGACTCAACATCAAACATTGTTGATATTTCTTTATAGTTCATGATCAAAATATCAGTATTAAAGGGAGAAAGAAATATCTACGCAAACACCCCAAAATGTAAATTATAGTCACAAGTAATGTGAAATAAGCACATTAGCCACCCTTTGGGCTTCATAGGAATAAAATAAGTTAAAGAYTYAYATACAAAGAAATGTATTGAGCGATGTTCGATGTTGAGTGTATGATGTCACAGACTCCACAAAATAATCGTAAAAATATCATACTTTCCTCCTGAATATCGAGAAAACACTTCATACAGTGATTATTGGACCTTTAAAGAGTATTCTTAGGAAGTTTCAGCTGAATCCAAGTTTGAGTGATTTTCGTCAGAGTAGCACTTTAAATTACGAGTCATACTGTGTACCATTCTTCTTAGGTTTCTATAGAGCTGTTAAGTCGTGACATGGTTCTGGGTCAAACTGCTTACATGAATAACTAAAATCAAGCAAAAAATGTTCTTAACAATTTACCATTCAACTGAAACTATTAGAACTTTGGACGAAAATTCTTGTTATTTAATTGTTGTTTTATTCTTGCAGTCTTTAATGGAAATGCACAAACGCCGAGGAGCATTAACAGAGCCCGAAGCACGCTATCTGATGAAACAAATTATCGAGGGCTGCCAGTACCTCCACAATAACAAAATCATCCATCGAGACCTCAAGCTTGGAAACCTTTTTCTGAACAATGATATGGAAATCAAAATGGGTGATTTTGGACTTGCTACTGTCGTGAAGGAAGGAGAGCGAAAGAAGTAAGTTTTGTGTTTGTGATTTAGAGTAAGGACCTCTTTACAGTGCAAGTACATTTACTGTAGCTGGGGCCACTTAGACAGTTAGACAAGAGAACCAATTAAAATATAGAATGAAAACAATGCATTCCAACTTTGGAGGCAATCAGAAACCTAGACTGCACATTGTAATTTGACCTTCTGTGGTAAACAACTAGATAGCAATTGTCATTTCCTCATGGGAATAAAAAGATATGTTGAAAGGTTATGGTTTTCTGCTGATTTCTGATTGGCTCCACTACTCAAAGTTAATAGTCAAAAACCCAGACGACTTGAATTCAAATTATAGCTAGTTAATATTGTCAGGTAATTTTTAAAATGGCCATAATGCACACAGTAAAATGTTGGCTTTGCAAGGCAAGCTTCACGTGCAGAAGATCTGAATAAAAACTTGACATTTTCTGGAACTAAGAAAAAATCAGGTACATATAAGATTAGTTCTATAACCATGTCACTTAGCTTCAGGCCACATATATTTTATTATATGGTGATCACTCATTTACTTGGTTTATGATTTCATTAACAAGTTATTTTTCTTGGCTTTCCTGAAGGACTCTTTGTGGTACACCAAACTACATTGCACCAGAAGTGCTCAACAAGAGAGGGCACAGCTATGAAGTAGATGTATGGTCTCTTGGATGTATATTGTAAGTTGATATGTATAACTTACTTTAAAAAATTATATATAACTATATAAATAATTCTCATAAGATGAGGGATTAAAATAAGGGTCAGACAGTCACTAGTCATGATGGTGGTCAGCCAAATTGCCCTATTTCACTATGACGTCACATCTATTGTTTAAACTCAAAGGATCACGGTCGTCGAAGGGGGTCAAATCAACGCAAATTCACCGAAAATTGTTCTAAAACCCGTATCAATCCACGAAAAGAAGAAGAATAGCCAGCAAACGCTCAGAATATTTTTTAGTACATATTAACACATATCATATCTGAAAATCAGGCCATTTTAGATTAAACTGTTTCGCTAGGAGCAAATTTTGTTGAATTTTCTATTGGATTTGGCGATTCTATCCCCATATAAACAAGCAGCAACGTCATAGTGAAATAGGGCAATTAGTTATAGCTCTGTCATATTTTGCTTCTGGCTAAATTAACAAATGCTACTGATCAAAATGACCAGCAATGCAAAGATCATCGGGCATGCAAGTTCCAATATTCTGGCTGGACATTGTCCTAATATGAACGGCCATTATTTTTTAGTCCATTTTAGAAGATTGATGTGATTAGCAATTTTCCTGTATTTATCTGACCAAATTTCCATTTTTTTCCCAGGTATACATTGTTGGTTGGTAAACCTCCATTTGAGACATCATCTCTAAAAGAAACCTATGGCCGCATCAAGAGAAATGAATACTACATTCCTTCCAAGGTTCAACATCCTGCTCAACTTCTCATCATCAAGCTCCTTCGCCCTGACCCGTCCACCCGACCAACGATGGCTGAAATACTTGATGATGAATTCTTTCAAGCTTACATGCCTTCACGCCTCCCTGTTAGTTGTTTGACTATGCCGCCTAAGTTTGCCTCATCTTCGAACCTCAGTACTTTGGTTTCAAGGAAACCTCTTCTTGAACTCAATTCGCAAGATACAGGACCAGTCCCAGTTAGCAGGAAAGCAGATGCTTACTCCAAGAGGAAGTCACTAGGAATACGAGTTGTAGGGACGGAAAGTACGATGGTTCAACCTGGGGAAGCGATTGCAGAGGAAGTAAAGAAAGAAGAAGAAGAAGGTGAGTTCTGTTAACTAATGTCATTGATGGTAGAGTCAGGGTGGTATTTAAGCTCTGCAATGTAGTGTCAATTCACTCAGTCCAAATTTATCATGAACGTAATATCAATGTGATAGAGTGAAGGTATTTAACCTGTGAAATAAAAAATGCTAGTCAATGTGTAATTATAGTCAAATACACACAAAAGAAAACAATGGAATTGAGGTCTACTAAAGTGTGTTAGTGTAATAACTAGTTCATGGGTTTAATGACTTCACTCTATCAGTAATTTAGCCGTGCCCTGACTTACAGTAGATCAGCCAAGAGGTTGTTTCAGGATTCAATCTGTGAGTTAGTTATGCSCCGACTTAAATCAGCCCAGAGGTTGTTTCAGGGTTCAATCTGTGAGTATTAGTTATGCCCTGACTTAGATCAGCCCAGAGGTTGTTCCAGGATTCAATCTGTGAGTTAGTTATGCCCTGACTTAGATCAGCCCAGAGGTTGTTNCCAGGATTCAATCTGTGAGTTAGTTATGCCCTGACTTAGATCAGCCCAGAGGTTGTTCCAGGATTCAATCTGTGAGTTAGTTATGCCCTGACTTAAATCAGCCCAGAGGTTGTTTCAGGTTTCAATCTGTGAGTATAAGTTATGCCCTGACTTAGATCAGACCAGAGGTTGTTCCAGGGTTCAATCTGTGAGTTAGTTATGCCCTGACTTAGATCAGCCCAGAGGTTATTCCAGAGTTCAAGGAATTAAAATTTATGTTAAATTGATATAATTATATAAAAATCTAAAAAAAATAGTAATTTCTAATCAAGAATAATTATTTTGTAAACTTTCAGAGGCATGTCAAGATTACTATCTGTCGAGTTTGCTGCATCAGTTGGAGAACTGTTTGGACAGTAACCCACATCTAAAATCAAACAGAAATTTAGGTAAGGAATGATCATCAAACCCACCCTTCAGCTAAAAGTACTGGCTGGTAATAGTAAAATGTCGACCTAGAATTAGAACTTGTCAGATAAAAATTGGTGTAGGAACATCAGTAACCAAGAGATTTTTTTCTAGATGATGCAGAAGATCCAGCATCAAYACCAGTATACTGGGTCAGCAAGTGGGTTGATTATTCTGATAAGTATGGCCTGGGTTATTCACTGTGCGACAACAGTGTTGGTGTACTATTCAATGACCAGACTAGACTCATCTTGTGCGAAGATGGAGAGTAAGTATCTCATTTTTAAAATAAAGGGCCTAAATCATAGTATTAATATATCCATAATCCTATTCATGTAATGAAATTAGAAAACATTCTACCCTAGCTAACAGTGTCTGAAAAGTTAACAAATCTAATTAAGACAAAATTTAAAGTGCTACTACGACGAAAATTGCTCAAACTTGGATTCAGCTGAAACTTCCTAAAAATACTCTTTAAAGGTCCAATAATCACTGTATGAAGTGTTTTCTCGATATTCAGTACGAAAGTATGATATTTTTACGATTATTTTTTGGAGTGTGTGACGTCATACACTCAACATCAAACATCGCTCCATACATTTCTTTGTATATAAATCCTTAATTTATTTTATTCCTATGAAGCCCAAAGGGTGGCTAATGTGCTTATTTCACATTACTTGTGACTATAATTGATATTTTGGGGTGTTTGGGTATTTCTTTCTCCCTTAACTACTGATATTTTGATCATAAACTACAAAAAAATGTATGGAGCGATGTTTGATGTTGAGTCTATGAGGTCACAGACTCCAAAAAATAATCGTAAAAATATCATACTTTCGTCCTGAATATCGAGAAAACACTTCATACAGTGATTATTGGACCTTTAAAGAGTATTCTTAGGAAGTTTCAGCTGAATCCAAGTTTGAGCGATTTTCGTCGTAGTAGCACTTTAAACTGAGGTACGCCCTCTGATGCCAAATTCAAAATGCATGTAAGTCAAATAAACGTGTAGCTGTAACTTACTGATTGGAGTGTGTTGATGTTGAATTCCTTTAGGAATCTTCAGTACATTGAGAAGAAAGGTCTTGAGACTTTCCATACAATGAAAGGCTATCCAACAAACTTAGACAAGAAAGTAAGATTAATGACTTTCTTCCGCAACTACATGAAGGAACATTTGCTCAAGGTAAGAAATAAGAATTGATGGAGCACCAAAAAGAATTGGACAGAGAATATTGATTGTATTCTCTGACTTATTCTTTCTCAATGCAAAAACTTATTTTCATTCTGTTCATGTAAAGCAAAACAAAAAAAAAGTGTGTTTGCTGTTGCCTGAGAAAAATAATTGGGGTCCATACGTCAGATTTTTTTACTGATACAACAGTGGAAAAGAGCTTACTGAGAGCCCTGTGGTGCATTTGGAAATGAAAAAAATATTAGAGTTGGCAAAAATTGGCAAAAAAATGGGGTCCGTCGCGCAATAGCAAACATCTATTTTTTTGTTTGGCCTAATGCATTTTTGCTATTTTCTTTCCCATCCCACCCCACCTCATCAGGCTAAAAAATATTAATGGAAAAAAGTCTGTGTTTTTGAATCGTGCATATAGCGCTAGTGATTATAATTTTATGTCAGCCTAACTTATTTTCTTAGCATTGTAAGAATGGAGTTTTAATGTATGGCACGTAACTAAGAATATGTAAATAAATTTTTAAAAAAATGCAAAATAATAAATACTTTTTGTTTCTGTTTTTATAGGCTGGAGGAGTACCAGGCATGAAAGAAGGAGAGTCCTCACATTTGCCATACCTCAGATATTGGTTTAGAGAGAATGAAGGAATCGTACTGCACTTGAGCAATGGATTCTTACAAGTGAGTCTCCTTTCTTACTCTGTTTCTGTGGAACGGCCAGAGTTATTAAATGCAAGCCATTTTTCTTCTTAGTCACCAAATCTGCAATTGACCACTTTGGCGCATGCATCTTGTTTTTGAACTAAAAAGCTCTCAGTTGAATGACTTAATTATGTAAAACAAGTTAATTTGGGTGCATGGCACATGGGTGTAGCCAGAGTTTTGCCAAAAGGGGTAGTTGGGGGCAAAAACCCATTTTCATGTACATACCATTTTCACTCTACGTACATGTACAGTAAAAGATGCACACAGTAATATTATTGTTACTTCTTGAAAAATCACCTAACCAGCTGATGTGGAATAGTGATTAAGAATAATGTCAGTATAAAACTAGCTTACATGTTATAATAACTATATAAAGCCTGCAAAAATTGAAATTACTTGCAAAGGATAATAACATGTCTGCCATATTGCAATATATGTTATTAATAATAACCCGTAATCAATTATGGTGTCACTGTTTATCATCGAGTGCTTATTAGCAACGTTCAAATTTTTTTAATTTGGTGCCTGGGAATTTCAATATTTCTTACCAGGTGAAAGACTTCATAGAGAAATTATCTGTGGTATTCATCAGCTATTAACCTTTACATTTCTCTTCCTCTCTTAAACAGATCAACTTTTTTAATGACCACACAAAAATCTTTATCTGTCCTCTCATGGGTGCTGTCACATACATTGACGAAAACAAAAGAATGCGGACTTTCCCTTTCAAGAATCTTAAAGACCATGGATGTAGTAAAGCCATACACTCTAGACTGGAATTTGCAAAGAAAATGGTAAAGAAGCTGATTCATAGATTAGAATGCACAGCTTGCAAGGATGAAAAACCAGGGACTGCCGTATGCCCAGCTGCTGTTCCAACAGCAGTAAAGGTGGCTGTGAAATAGCTTCGTAATCCAGCAAAACAGAACAAACTATATATGTATATATTAATTTTCTATTTTAATATTATAAGTGTTTTTTAAGTGTCTTGAATAGACACTGTCACTGAAATGTCTAATAACCTCTGGCTTAATTTAGACTGCAATGTTTGCTGAAGCTATTCACAGTATATTACATTGATTTAGTAATTACTCTGTAATATTTGTGAATACTTCACCAAGCAACCATGATTTGCAAGTAAACTTTATTCAAGCAAGACTCACTGATCTGCACTTAATTATTCAAACAAATATGAATTTCAAATGTTTGATAAATAATTATATTAGCCTATAATATACAGCTGTGCCATGTACAGAACTTAAAATGACGACCGGTCTGTCGCCACACTCATGAAGTTTTTGTTTTCTTCCAATAATATTTTCAACATAAACTATATATAGTTATGTACACTATACTAGTTCCTAATCTTTTGATTGTCTGGAACCAAAAGTGGAAAGCTTTTTCACTGTCTTGGTCAAGTAACTATGAATTTTTTCCACAAGGAAATGATTTCTTATGCAAATCATCTACACTCACAAGCTACACAATTGTCTAACCATAGAAAAAAATCTGATAGATTTACCCCAGCTCCATTATCTCTTGGAACATAAATGGTAATTTCTTCTGGAACATTCTTTTAGTATATTTTTAGCTTTATTGAGAGGGATTAGATGTCATATAATAATAATATAGAATTATACAGTACATGCATGGTGGGGAAATTCATATGTATATGTAATAAATAAGAGGATTACTTTCGAAACAAAAGCATGTATATATTCCAATTCAAGTCAAGGATAAATTACACTGGTTTGTCATAACTTGACAAGCTTCATTTTGAGATGTGTGTTTTTGGCTTCCATCAATCAAATTTCCAACGCCGTCTGAAATCCAAAAGYTCAGTAATATTAGAAAGTTTTAGAAAACAAAACTAGAGGCAAAAGACAATGGCATATATATGTGCTGTCAAGAATGGCTTTTAAAATGACCATTGACATTGCAACACTACAATCAGGATTCAAAAATGAATCCTGACTTGTTGAAAAACCTTCTGGAATTAGGTCCACTGACAAATATGGCTCTCACTTCACTTGTAAATATTAATCATATAGGAGATAGTAATTAATGACTACCATATTATTGTTGAAATGCACGTTATAATGCTATAAACTGGAAATTATTATTATTATTAAATATTGTTAAAATGTTTATGAATTTGAAGTAAATTGAATGAACACACTCTGGTCCAATCATTCATTTCTATATATGTTGTAAAAGTATATGTTTGCACAGCATAAAGTACATCGGGGTAGTTCTATAATTACCTGTATGTTTCCATGCGAAACTAGTGATATTTTTATTTCACTTGGATATGTATTGGACTAAATCTACACAAAGCGTATCCTATTTTTAAAACTGGGCTTCCTGTGTGTAACAATATTACAGTCACTATATAATGGGCATAGTAAGTTTACAGCTGAACATTTCAGATTTTGGTAGTGTGTGACAGGGAGCCAAATTGAAAACCAGGATACATGCACATATGCTGAATTTGTATCCCACTATAAAAAAGTGAATCATTGGTATTCTTTCTTTAGTGATGCATTTTGGTAGAGGTAGTAAGATGATGCCATCATGAACAGGTCCTATTGCAGCTTGTGTATCTTTATGTATTCTAACAATATTTGATTGACAGTGAACATTTCCATTGACATGCATTGTGAGTATAGCTCACAAATTTCAAAAGAAAATTTCACAAGCATTCTGATAGAGCGCATGCAGTAAAACCATGAAATAAAAACAGCGATACTGACAAATAGCACTATTTAGTGAGTAATAGTTGCTAGCACTCACTATCACAGAACATTCATCATACAAAGACAAATACACAAGAGACCATGTTCTGGTTGAGTGATAGCAACTATTAGTCACTAAATAGCTACTATTTGTCAGTATCGACTTTGTTTTTATTTCATGGTTTTACTCCATGCGCTCTAACATGACCCTATCATGCAAACTGTCCTTTTTAAGTAGTAATATATTTATATTCTTATTCATCCCTACCTCAAAACAGTCTTCAAAAAACACCCATCTTCTGTCAATGACACTACCACAGGAAGCCCAACTGTAATCTTGTTAACGTTACACACAGGCCAGTTTTAAAAATAGGATACGCTTCGTGTAGATTTAGTCCAATACTACGGTACATATCCAAGTGAAATAAAAAAATCTATAATGCAAATTTTATTTTAGACTTTCCATGGCAAGTCTRTACTGTAATTTATAAATTATTACAATTATTATAATTCAAAGATTATTATAACGATCGGGCTTCCTGTGCGCGCTGTTATCGATACCCTTCCGAGTGATTTCGAGCGGTTCCGACTACTTCCGAGCGATTTCAAGTCCAATCGGGCATCGTTTCATTTCAGTTCTTGGTGAAAGAAGAGAAAGATTCTTCAAATTTCTCTCTTATTTTAAAGGTAAGAAAAAACTCTTTGATTGCGATTGCGATATTATCATTGTTCCTAACCATCAGGAGTGTTCAGTAGGCAAAAATACTAGAATCGTACTCTATTTGGTTGATCATTGTCGATAGAAAGTGAAATTTTTTTAAAAGATTTCTAGTTTGCAATAATTAGTATGAAATTTTATTCTTTAAATATCTCTCTTTCGTGTTTGACTTGTGCTTTCTTTTCCTCCATCATGTCTGCCTTTACGATAAGCTTATTTTGTTCAATATTGCTAATGGAGCAAAAGCATATAGTTCAGTAAAAATCCTCTTAAAAGCTCGCTTGTATTATATCTTGAATTATAAATGTCTTGTGCTGAAGTAAGTGCTATTCTTGTCATTTAAGATGTTTGAAGTAAGTCTCAATTAATGGATCATTCGTATTACCTACTAAAGATCTTGAAAATACTTTAGAAAAGCTTAGAAAGTTGTATACTTTAATAGCTTTGTATATATAAATTTACCTATATGCAGAATTATAGAGCTAGGAAATTCCCAGGAAGTCTTGGTTCAATATCCCCAGCTGAATGTATAAAAAGGGATATTTTTATATGTAGAAGTGAAATATAGAATCCATGAGTTATCTAGTATCCTTCTTTATTCATCTCAGCTAATTTAGTTTTGATCACAAAAAAAATGTAATTATAAAACATAGAATATTGTATTGAGGAAAACAACAACTAGTCTAATATTGTATTCAAGCATTATAACGAAGCGAAGGGGATGGTTTATTATGTCTTGTGAGGGGGG